AATTCGTAAGCAGAGGCAGAGTTTACATGTTGAGGTAAATTTTTGGGGCCGGAGCTGGTCGTATCTCGAAAAATTCGTAAGCAGAGGCAGAGTTTACATGTTGAGGTAAATTTTTGGGGCCGGAGCTGGTCGTATCTCGAAAAATTCGTAAGCAGAGGCGTTCGTAACTCGAGGTACCACTGTATTATCATCATCATCATCATCAACAACAACATTATCATCATCATCCATGAATCATGAAACCATTCCATGATTCAATGATGATGATAAAGATGAAGATGACAGTGATGACGATGATGATGATGATGATGATGATGATGATGAAATTGGAAGGGTTAGGGTTAAGGTTATTATGATGACAGTGATGATTATGATAATAACAACAATGTTGGAAGGGACCATAGAAACTTCCAGTCCAACCCCTACTCAGTGCAGGAGCCACCATTATTATTATTCAAGCTGTCATATTTCTTATGCTGAGACTCAATATTGATAATATCAACAGCAATATCCTAACATCTTTTTGAAAGGCTGTGAAAACAAATTTTCTGTAGGGCCTTTAATTGTCATTTCTGTTGAGAATTGGGGTTGGTATTGATGGTGGTTTATACTTTTTTATCAGTTTGGGATAGTGGTGATAAATAGTAACCACAACAACTATTTACCACTGCTACTACATTTACAGCTTGCCCTTCTTTAGAAGCTCAAGACAATGTATGTATTACTTGTTCCCCCAATTTTATCCTCTTAACCACAGTCCAATCCATACCCCGCTTGCTTAACTGAGTCATAAGCAAAGTTGGAGGGTGGGTTCCAAGCAAAAAATTCAATTTCTGGAAAGGCAGAAATGAAGAGCTCCCTGATCTGGGTCTTCTTAAACCCCTGTTGGCTTCCTCAGAGGCTGAAAACCTAAATTCGCTTTCTGTTGCAAGCCCCAAGAAATACAAAGGAAAACCTTGATGTTTGGCAGATCTTTTCCACGCAAGCAGCTGTGATTACTGTAGAGATTGGTTGAGGGGTTCAGGGAGTGGAGGAACAAAAGATTAATAGCAAGGGAGCAGAGTTTACGGAACATCTGGCAGGCAATGTTTGGGCCCCAAAATCTGAGTGTCAGTCAGCAAAGCAGGGGCATCTTGTGGGGGGGGGGGGGTCAAAAAAGTCAAGATGGCAGCTGCAACTGTGCAGTTGAAGCCCTGGCTTTTTTTTTTTACCATCTTTATTTTTTGACACCCAACCCCACCCCTTGCATGTGGCTTCAAAATACCCATTCCAAGTGGTCTTCCCAGAACTATACATAGTTCTTACAAATCAGAGCTAAATCTGTTGGCTTAACTGTACAAATGCAACAGCCTCGAGTACTTTCAATTTTCTTCTACGCAAAATGCTGGTGAAAGTCAATGTAAAGGGAGAAAATGCTGGGAGGGAGGCAATTACTACTCTTTACTCAGCTCCTGCCCACGCAGTTTCCCTTTATAGCAAAGCCATGGGAGTATTTATTTTTTATTTCCAGAGCACACATCCTATTATTTCACCCTTGATGGATCAAATGCTTACCGTAATAAGGCTGGATTCTGTAAACCTGGAGTCTTAAACATACATCAGGCTTGTGTATTTTAGTGCTAGTAAAAACTTTTAAACCCAAGTCCTGTCAAATGAATGAAGAAATCACAATGAAACATTTCAGAAAGTATGAATAGACCCAAATGAGCTCTTCTGAAACTCCAAAGTGAGTGCTATGGGTAAAGTTCAATTTTTCTTAGAGCTGAACTCAAGCCTTGTGATTTTTCCAACAACAGCATGGAAATGATTTACCACTGTCTTTTTCAAGGATGTCTTTTCAACTAGCCTACAGCTCTGGGATCTCCTGGTGGTCTCTCATCCAAGCAGATGTGACCTGGCTTAGCTTTTTGGTATCAGCCAAACTCAGCTAGATGCTGCTACCTAACTGGGCAAAGGTCATGGCTCAACTCCTGCTGATTTTTTGGATACATCCATGTAGTGTTTTTGGAAACAATATGGAAGGAGTTTGCCACTACCTTCTCCAGGAAGGATTTCCCAGCCTAAGTTATAGTCCTGGATCTCCTGAAGGTCTCCCATCCAAGTATTAAGCAGGACAAACCTTACTTTGCTTTTTGAGATCAGCCAAGGTGTTTAGTTCCTATCATCTGCTAGCCTGTCACAACTCAAATCAGGAAACTGAGCTAGGGGTTTCTGTCCACAGATTTTCTAAATCTGAAGAAGGCAGGAAGTAAAATGAACTTGAAGAGAGAGTGGCCCATCTCAGCCTAGCAGAATAAGAGGATTTCACCTGCAAAAAGCAGTGTGGAAGCTCACCTTGAGAATTTTGGAAACATCATCTTCCCCATAAGAATAAGGATCAGGGCGGTAACGGATTTGATCCACCTCAATATTTTTCACATCGATGCATGGCCTTTCATCCCCAAAGTGTCTTTCGTAGGAATAGTCTTGGAGATTTATCCCAGGGAGCAACTTATAGACCTAAAAACAGAGACATAGCAATTCAGAAAAGCTGCCCATCCAATGTGGGTCCCTGATCCTGCTTGCCCAACGACCAGAAGGATGGTCTTGCCATTTTTGTGCTTGCTGGGAAGGGATACACAACTCATTCCTCCAATATTTCCCAATACTTGCAACTTTATTTTTTAAAAAAGATAGGTTTTAGGGAGATCTAAAGAATGAACACAATAGCTGCATGAAGGTTTGGGTAGGAACTAAGCTGAAGAAAATTGTGAAGAATGCTTTGGACCACCAGAAGAACAAATAATTTGATATTAGATGAAGGAAACCTGCTTCCTGGAAGTGTAAAGGTCAGACTTAAATATTTTGAAGGCATAATGTGAGAGCTACTGGAGCAACAACATCCTTGGGGGAGTCAAGAAAGTTAAGATGGCAGTCACCACTTTGCAATCAAAGGCCCATCCCTTTGTACAGGCATGCAGCCTTGATGTCCAAAAGGGTCAGGGCTTTGATGGAGGGGTCACAACTACCATTTTGATCTTTTTGGTCCTCCCCTGCAGGCACCACTGCATTGGAAGAGATCCCGAGGCTTGCAGAAATCAAAGGTCATTGAAAAAAAGCCAACAAAAGACAAGGTGGCTAGATAGTATCACGGATGATGCAGGCTAGAGCTTACCCAAAGAAAAGTTATTGGCCGATACTGCTCATTAAAATGCACACCTTCAGGCCCCAACTGAAGGACAAAAGATCATCATGTGAAGGGATGCTAGTTCTCCCTTTCCCACATTCCTTTCCCCTAAAATTAATTTGTAGACAGTGTTCTGTTGTTCTGTCTGAATTGATGTCAGCCCTGCAAATTGGGCCAGGTCAGGAAATAGACACTGCAAAGATTTCAGGAATGCTATTTTATTGTTGTAGGGCAGTGTTTCTCAAGCTTGGCAACTTTAAGATGCGTGGACTTCAACTCCCAGAATTGGTTGGGTTCCCCATGGCTGGCTGGGGAATTCTGGGAGTTGAAGTCCACGCATCTTAAAGTTGCCAAGCTTGAGAAACACCGTTGTAGGGCATAATAACAGAATCTTGAAAACCCCTCAACGTTTCTCTCTGTCCCATCTTATGCCCAACAGAATCAAGGCGGAGTGATCTTGACTTTCTTTCTCACAACTTCTGCTTCCCCAGGACCAAGCTGCCATTCCTCCTCCCTGAAGAGTCCATCCATTCCTTCCCCACGGTCATCTCCACATTCCTCCTGTCCCTGCCCTAGCAGTTTAGGCTACTGGACTTTTCCAGGGATGAACCTAGCAGCAGCCAGGGCACCTCCGGACCCCCATTCAAATGCAGCCGGGACTCACTGTATCAGGGGAGAGCTCAGCTTCGGGTTTCAGGAGAAAGACGCTCTGGTCCACGGCGTGGATGGCGCAAAGTGAACGGGGGGAGGCTGCAAGATGGAGTTGGGTTTCCTCGCCAGGCAGGCCTTCTGGATCAGAGAACCACAGTCTCACCTGTAAACACAAACCAGGCCTTTGGAAAAGCCACTTCCAGTGCTCAATGGAATGAGGAATCAACAGAATGAAGTGTTTCTTCTTGAAGGATGTGGAAGAACAGGCCGCCTGGGCAGATTAAAAGCCCCCGTGCTCTTCCCTTCTTGCCCCCACATCCTCACAATGACCCAGCCGCCAATCAAACAGCAGCTGCCAATCAAGCAGGAGGCAAAGAGGAGGGAAGACAAGATGGCGGCCTGGCCTTCTGCTGCCCCAGGCTGAATAAACAGCCAAACCCAGGAGTAAAAGTAAAGAGTAAAATTAAAAGATAGACAGCCCTGATGAAGAGAGGCAATCAGAAAAGAGGCAGCAGCTGAATGTGGTCTGGTGGTGAAGGCTCCAGGCTAGAAAGGAGGAGGCGGTGAGTTCTAGTCCCGCCTGAAGCACGAAAGCCGGCGGGGTGACTTTAGGCCAGTCCCTCTCTCTCAGCCCATCTCACCTCACAGGGCTGTGGTTGTGGGGAGAATAGGAGGAGGAAGGAGGATTAGGTATGTTTGCCGCCTCGAGTTATATCTAAAAATAATAAAGGCAGGATAAAAAAAAAAAAACTAGGGAGAGAGAAGCATTTATTTCCTTCCCTCAGAGCTGCGTAAGGTAAAAGTTCTTCAAGCCGTTTCCCTCAGATGGAGCCCATATTAGGAAGAAGAGACAAGGAGTCCAGAAGCCCAGCCAGGAACAAACAAGGGGAAAAGGTGAAGAAAAAATCAAGACTTGGACAGAATAGAAATAGAAAACAGAAACTAAAAAAGATAAAAGACAGACTGAATTCTGAGAAAAAGGAATAGAGCCCTTTAGAGGGTGACAGTAGAGCAGTGCTGTCCAAACTTGGCCACTTTAAGATGAGTGGACTTCAACTCCCAGAATTGGTTGGGTTCCCCATGGCTGGCTGGGGAATTCTGGGAGTTGAAATCCACTCATCTTAAAGTGGCCAAGTTTGGACAACACTGCAGTAGAGAGTGGCTGGCTGGGGAATTCTGGGAGTTGAAATCCACTCATCTTAAAGTGGCCAAGTTTGGACAACACTGCAGTAGAGAGATACAGGGAGTAAGACAACAGGGATATAGAAGTCAGCCATAAACAAATATGTTGGAGATACAGAATAGAAAGATATGAAGATATAGTGAAATTGGACTTTAAAGAATATAGTGTAGGTACAGAGCTTATGGAAAATAGTTAAAATAGAAGACAGTTTTATTAAGATTAATTTCTGCACTAGTTGAAGGCATTCATAATTTACAGCTCCTTTTTTTTTTTTTCATTTGTAAGCTTTCCTTTTGTAAAATAAAAGTCTTCCCTCAGCCACTGAGGGGAGATATAAAAACCCAATCAATTGTCCATGTTTCCAGTGCTTTGTGTCTACTGAGTCTGCGTCGATCTGGTTATTGGTGGTTCAAAAAAAAAAAAAAAAAAAACAGG